GTAAAAGTAGAACGTGTTTATAGTCTTCGGTGTTAACCGACGCATCATTTATCGCCATATAGATATCGACGGTCTCATTTAGAAAATTACGTGTTCGATGAGATCGCGGGTATATGAAGAAATTGATCGCTTAATAGAGTTATTAGATGTAATAGATAAATAAGTAACTTAAAGTAGGAAAACAAGCTTTACGTAATCGTTTAATTAAGAGTAATTAAAGACAAAGATTTTTTCTGAAATAAATTCAATATCAAAAAGAAAGTTAAAAAAAATTCATATAAAGAAAATCAAAAATAAATCCTGCAGAAAATGTTGAGAAACGTATCCCTTAATGGTACTGTGGCTTTGTTGGGAGTCAATAAATACCCACGAAACAAAGAATAAATCCTATAGATTCATCTTAAGGATACTCACATACGTAATCTTTCAGTTAATATAAATCAGTCTCAGATATCGATTTCAGTCTACATCTAAACCTTACTTTGAATTGAATAGTCTCCAAATGAAACCGTATTTATTATCTTACGTCATGACAAACCATGAGATTTCTATTCTAAAAAGATTTACTAATTTGTACGAAGATACTTCATCAATATTTTTTCCACGTACCAGTAATTAAATACCTTTCCTACACGTAGACATCGACACGTTTCCAACTGAGTACCTATGTTACTAATATAAGAAAGCGTGTGTGAAAGGATAAGACGATATCGATGTTCTCTAGCGATAGAAGTTCTGGCAACGTGTCGTAACAATTCAACAAGATTCGATGCGCTCTGAATTTCAGCTTGTTACCAGTAGCAAGAGGTCGGACAATTTTCCCAACGAAGAAGTCCCTAAGTAATTGCGTCTACTGATGCCGTTCACTTTCAACATGAAACGAGGTGATAAACTTTGTGACGTTTCGACAAGTGTAAAATGTAATGACTAAACACAGTTCTCTTTTCGTTTCAGCTGCAATGAACGAATAATAATTATAATATTGCAATATCGTTATTATGTAATTAAAGATCGAAGCACGGTTTTATCTTTTAATTGTAATCTATAACTGACACGTTTTAAATTAAGTTCTATTCCGCGTTATGATTAATTATATTAAGGTTAAACTTTAATTAGATGTGACCAAAAAGAATCTACAATTAATTAAGAAAAAAATAAATTAAATCCAATAATTAATTATCTACCAAATCAATTAATTAAGAAAATTTGTGCTAATACCAGCAATTTAAACGCAAATTACATAATTAATGTAATGTATATAACCGCAATCGAGTAAGTACGAAAATGATCGCGAAAAGAAGCAAAGAGACGTATTCATTGAGAAAAGCGACCGGCCTCGATCCACAAATAATGCGTTTTAACCAAGATTGTTGAAATCCATTTGTGTCGTAGTTCAAGCACTATTTTTTTTCTATTAGAACGCCCATAATGGATCATTAATGTTCTTTTTGACATACTTTTCGTATTTTTTACAACAAAACGTAAACAAAGTGTTTAAATGGTTTCCTTTATTCAAAACAAACAATAAATAAATTTAAAACAATTACTTTCAATATAACATTAAGTTTGATTTAATAACACGGAGGAACTATAAAGTTATTTTTTACAAAAAAAATCAATGTCGATGTTTTATGGACGTATTACAATGAGTTATATAGCAAGGTCGTCCATACTCATACATATTTAACAAGCGCAAGCAGGACGTAGGTCACATTGTTATTATCTTTACTGACTATAAATCACAAATGTCTTCCTATCTAAACGGTTTTTATGGGATCTTTAAATCTTTTTGAAAGGATGAACGAATGAAGCAATAAATATAATAAATATGGCCCTTAAAAAATAGTTAACAACACACATCATAATCGATATTTAAATATTTGGTTTTAAACGAATTTGTTTTTTAATGAATAGTTGTTTTTATCCAATCGACATAATCAGCTACGTTGGTGTATAATCCGGGGAGAAAAGGTCTTGCACATCCGATTCCTGTTGATACAACTCCAACAACCACCACTCTTCCCTCCGAATGAATCATTAAAGGACCACCGCTATCAGCCTGAAATAATAAATATAAACAATATAAAAAATCAAGAAACAAAACGATTTGTAATCATTTATTAATCTTAATATAACTTTAAATGGAAGTGTTTATTCGGTCATTAAATTTTTAGGAGTACTTAATAAGGACTTTTATTTAAAAATCATTCGGTATTTCCGAAAAAGGAAATTGAAAGGAGATCATAAACGAAGGTATATATTGTTCTTGAAATACTGTAATAATAATACTATTTCGCCAACGGTCTATTATTAACATTAAATAACTTTGAAACTTTTTGAAATAACATCATTAAAATCACGCAATCGCTTTTAACGAGAGTTGTGCTTCTAGGCATAAACAAAGAGTGTCTAAAGAGATGTGTTAATATATTGCAATTAATATATTAGGTGTTTTTGGTAGTATCATAGTAGTTTTTTGTATCCAAGATAAAGTAAACAAGACGAAGAAGTTTACAACATCTATAATGAGGAAGATTAAGTAAATACAAATTTGAGTAATTTAGGATTTTTGACTCAGATCATTTCAAAAATGTTATCACGATACTGCTACCACCAATTATAACCAGTTACATTTTCAAAATATCCCCCGGCAATGGCACTGTTAAGTAGATTAACCACGAATCCGCTGCAGCCCAAATATATACAGTGTGTCCGTAAAGTAGCGGATATAGGCAATAGAATCATTATAAACGGTGTATGGAAAAATCCCTGAAACGAGTCTAAAAATTTAAATTTTTTGCAATTTGTTGGTGGAGACTTTGAACGAGTTATGACATCATCGACATTTTTTTCAAATGGCAATTCCCCATTTTTATTACGGAATATGAAAGACGATGTTTTTTTGAATCTAGTATAGTCAATATTAATATTGGTTACATCAGAAAATTTTCGAGAAAAATGATGAAAATAGCATTAGCCATGAGTAACTATGGTAACCAACTATTTTAAACTATTTTCTAAGTGTCAAAAAATGATTTAATAACTAGTTGACCTCCTTAATGCAACATTTCCTGATCGAAAACTGCTTAGCTCATTAATTGGTAAGCCTAGCTGTGACTAACTTAAAAAGCATCAATATCTTCAATATTTCTCAAAGTCTGCCCAACCAAATGTTTCAAGGGAGGTTCAACAAAACGTGGCTTTGGCTGGGCAAGGAATCCCTTATGTTACTGTCACGGGTGTTGGGTGGAATTTGGATATTTAAATTTTTAAAATTTTAAATACTGCAAAATATTATTCCTATAAAGTAAACTTCATTCACGATCAATGAGTCGTGAGAAGTTTTTTCAACAACAATTTTGCTACGATGACAATGACTTTATCAAAAACATGTTTTTTCCGACGAGGGAACATTCACATTGAGTGGCCAAGTAAATAGACACCCAATATCCGCAAAAGATCAATGTGTGGAGCGAAATAGTATGGGACACTATCCTGAGTTCTTACTTTGTGAGAAAACCTTAGCTGAAGGGAGATGTTTAGGTTTTTTCAAAACGTTTCATAATGTTGTCCCACCTGAATTCCAATGGTAGCTATTCCAAGAAGGTGGCGCACCACCACACTTCAACAAGCTTTACTAGATCACATTTTGACACTTAGGAAATTGTTTAAAATAATTGGTTACCATAGTTACTCATGACTACTGCTATTTTTATCATATTAAGCAAGTTTGAAGAAAGTAATATTTCTCGAAAATTTTCTTATGTAACCAATATTAATATTGAGTGTACTAGATTCAGAAAAAGATATTCTTTCATAGTCCGTAATAAAAATGAAGGATTGACATTTGAAAAAATATCGATGACGTCATAACTCGTTCAAAAAAAGAATTGCAATAAATTTAAATCTTTAGACCCGTTTCAGGGATTTTTCCATAAGCTGTTTATAATGATTTTATCGCCTATATCCGTTACTTTACGGACACACTGTATAGCAAAACTAGTAATGGCAAAAATTAAGAGATAGAATATCCACCGCAAAGAACGTACCATTGAGGTTTTAAAAGACGAATATAAGTCGGAGCAATATTGGATTCAAATGGAGACTCCACTGATAAAAGAGAATATGGAGAATCTGAAGATATCTAAAAGTTATTAGCGAACTGTGGGCAAGATGCAAAGATCTAAACACATGCAACAGAGGTGCTAGGAGTAATCAAGAGAGGCAAAAAAGATAACTAGTTTTATAAGGAATGCCAGGCAGCAACAAAAAGAAAAAATGAGGTTTATTTAAAAATAATCCATACCAGGTGCATTAGGTGAGTCAAAAAAGAATACACGGCTCCCTAAGAAAGAAGGAAAAGAAAATACGTTGGAGATAGAAGACACAAGGAACAGATGGAGAACATAAAGGCACTGAACAACCAACATGAAACGAGGAAGTTCTTTAAACAACTCAATGAAAATCTCAGAAAGAATTTAAATCCAGAATTAAAAACTGTAGAGACAAAGAATGAAATATCAATTTTGAATAGATGGGCACAACACTTTGAGGAGACACTTAACAACAATCAAGAGATGATAGAAACACCACATCAATATCAACACTGGTGGCACGATATTTTAAAGATCAAAACAACTGCTGGGAAACTCCGGTGATATTGATATCGTGGGTAGCAGTAAAAGAAACGTGGAGAAAATACTTCATCGCACTGGAACAAACTTCAAAGAGAGTCGGCGTGATTGTTAACCAGGAGGAGACAAAAATCCAACTCAACTCTTTTCCTACAATTTAGTTTATTGAATACTTCTTCGAACAAGATCATAGTTTTGTGTATCTTGGATCTCTTCTGAACATTACGACGACGGGATGAAATCAGACGACGCAGGTGTCTTCATGGCTTTTAGAGACACTTCTTCCAGCAAGCCCTCACCCGCAGGACAAAGATACCAATATACAAGATGCTAGTAAGGCCGGTCTTTACATACGGAGTGGAGAACGTAAGGTCCTCAGAAAGGAGAAGAAATCCTTATCAGATTTACGAGAACCCCGATTAGTTAAAAACATGAGGATAAGTCTCTTGAGAAGAGAGAGAGTTGGTTTTGTAACGGACATAATACATAATACAGGACATAATACATCTAACATATCAAAGATTATCAAATCATGGTGCATAATACCGAATATCGGGTGGATTGTTTCTGAGATGTAAGGTCTCTTTTAACACTTTTACTTTTGGATTTAGGATTTATGTCTAAATGTGTCAACAAGAACTGCTTTTATGTCTTCTGTTTCCAATACTGTAGTGAGTATGACGTAATTCTTCCATCGTTTCTTTGGTCTTCTTCTACCGGTCTGTCCTTCGGGTGTCCATTCTACAACCTTCACTCCTCTTTATTCCTGCATCTTTTCCAGATAAGTCATCCATGCTATTTTTTGAGCTATTTTCTGCATCATTGTTCCATTCAGTATTAGAATGTGTCCATCTTTTCCTTTGATTAATTGGTATCTGCCACATAAATACTGATAAGATGTATTGTTTTACTTTCTTGGAAACAGATCAATGCCTGCAGGAGTCTTTCATTGATGTTATTTATGTTGTTGATTCTAGTTTTGAATTTTTTATGGTCACAATCCCTGACGGTACTATTTTACTATTTTTCAGAGGTCGCTAATATGTCTATTCTGTGCCAATTCGTTTCTAATGTTATTTCTTGATCTTTATTCTGAAAAGAGTTGTATTAAATTTATCACCGGGTAATTATCAGTTAATCCTATCCCCTAAGAGGCAGCGATATTGGTTCTGTTTCAAATGATTTTTCTGAAAATATTTTTGGATCTACACAACATGCTCGTGTGTTTCGATTTGTTTACATTACATACGTTAAAAAAGGATTTCAACTTGGATAATTCAGATGAATCTCAAAATAAACATCTACCTGAATTATTACCTTTATGATCATCATTAATTGTGGATTAATTAAGAATAAAAAACACAATTCATTTCTTACCCAACATGAATCAATTCCTCCTTGTTCATACCCAGCACAAATTTGTCCACTTTGAATTTTAGTTTTCTTTCCTTGAGAAGCATACCAAGATTGGCAAGTTTCCTTATCTACGATGTTCACGTTAGCTTTTTGAAGAGTAGTCGCTTTACGCCCTAACATAAAAAAACATATTTATATTTTAAAATTAATAATATAAATATTAATTTACCATGTTCTTTCGTCCAACCCCATCCGGCAACCGTAGCGATAGTTTCTTGTAACCTCGATGATTCAAACGAAGGTAAACAAGCAGGATTTGCTGAATCGCTCCATTGAACTTTCGAAGCTAATTCAATGATTGCTATATCATTTCGGGCTTTCTTACAAGAATATTGGGGATGAACGGAAATGCTGTTTACGCCGACTTCATATGCTGCGGTATCGCTGGTGGTTAAATCGTGCTGAGATATTGTTGCTTTAATAGTTGCTGGAAGCATGGTGTCTTCGCCGATTCCGCTATTAATTTATGAAATGGTATTTATTTTAGTTTATTTTATTTATTAAATTATTACGTGCAAAGACAATGAGCTGCGGTTAAAACATGTTGGTTGGTAATTAAAGTTCCACCGCAAAAATGACCTCCTCTACGAGTTATGGAAACCATCCATGGAAATTCATGTTTTTGGGCGTCTCGGCCACCAACGATTTTTCCAAATCTTAACGTTTGTTTACCACAAGAGACATCAGAAACTAAGAAAGAAAATTAATTAATTTTTTTGAATTTATATTTTTGAAAAATACTTACAGTTTATTACAGCCTCTGAAAAGCTGAATAATGTTAAAATTACAGTGCTTAATACTAACATTTTTTTTATTTTTAAATCTTTTTATTTTTTTTTGTATTTTTTATATGATGACTCTTGTGGTATTCAAGTTACTTAACTTTGAACATTTTAAATACCTATATGTATTTATACCCAAAAGTAAAACCAAAAATGGGCGGGATCTGCCCCCACTTTTAATCGTATTATGATAGTCAAGGGTAGAATATCAGAATTTGTTCATTAACATTCATGATTATGTAGGCTGAACCTTGCACGTTGTTGGAGGTCGCTATTGTGTCGACCGGGAAGATAACTTTTGTCAATATTAGTAGGAATCTTTTTATATTTTTTAATGACCAGCACGGTATGCCGCAAGGTTTCCATGTGCAATGATGAACTTGAAATTGAATGCCGTTACAATGAAAGATGAAAAGTTTCATTGAAAGATTATCGAATTGGAAATTTAAAAAGTTAAACCTTGTAATAAGCCACATTGTGGTTTTCATTTCTTCGAATATAACATTATAGAACACCTTTTTAATCTTATAATTATTTTTATTAATATGGAACAGAACTAGCTTATCGAAAATTGTTAAAAGTTAAGTTTGTTGTTATATTTTAATGGGGCCTTAAACCTTATTAAGAAATTGACACAGTTTTAAATAATAATTTCACGATAATAATTTACAACCATTTCTATTTTCGTATATTCCTACTTTGCATTATCCTGAGCCCTCAATGATAACACCATATATAAGTTTTTTTTATTTTTTCGGCATAAATAAATATTAATAACGGTAGTTATTCAACCACACAGAACTTATATTGACCTTAGCAATCAATTATTGCAATAATTATGCATTTTATTCTTATCGACGTGTGATAATGCGTCGAAGAACCTCCGAATTGCCCTCATAAATGTGTCACGGAGTCAGTGTCAGCGATAATTAGTATGCATTTCAGTTGGATTGAATTGTTGTAATTCAGATGGCAAAGTAATTTACAGAATACACCAAACATTAGGACGTAACAACGCCAAAATTAATTTTTATTCGCATAAATAGATTAAAAATGTTATTATTGATGTTATTACACAAAGTGATGTGTTTAATTGGTAATGTTGAAATAAGTAGCGTAAAAAATAACCGGATTTGTCCAAGAGGTATTTAGTTCAGGGGAAATCGATTTAAAAGGCGAGGTAATTTACATCATATTGTCTTTTATGGAACATTTTAATTAGATGTACTGTGAAGATGTTTAAATTGTTTTCGTAGCCAATTACTTTAAATTTTTTAAATATTTTTGAAGAATCCATAAAATAAAACATATTTATTCTTTTTAAAAAAACACTAAAACCATCTAATCAACTATTAAATTGTGATTTTATTTACATATTCCTAAATATAGTATCATACTAGAGTCAAAAAAGCGGCTGCCAAAAAATAAGCAGAGTCGAAAAAATCGAAGAAGGGAGATGAGAAGTCAAAAATTCCATTATAGAAATAAAAAAGATTAATAAGCAGGTGTCGAGGGTCATAAAGAAAGATATTAGAACTTATAATAAAGAGAAGATCGAACAAACTATACAGAACAATTAAAGCTTAAAGGTCTTGCGCAGGAAACTGGATATTGGGAAAAGAGAAATAATCAAAATTAGAAACAAACAAGGAAGAATAATAACGAATAGGGAAGAAATACTGAGAGCTGTGGAGGATTTTTACCAGCTGTTGTATAAAAGTCGGTGGGATAAGAATATAAAGTTAAATGCGGAACAAGCCAAGCATCTGAAGAAATGCCAGATATTTCGCTGGAAGAGATTGAATTTGTTCTAAGAAAGACCAGAAATAATAAAGCACCGGGAGAAGATTCTGTGGCTACGGATGCAATAAAAATCGGTGCTTGCTCCAGAAAATAAGGGTCCTATATAACCCCTGCCTATTTAGCAGCACAATACTGAGTAAATAGCATACCGCTACGGCAATACTGTTTCACAAAAAAGGAGACACATCCCAATTGGATAACTATAAACCAATAAGCCTTCTGAATCACCTCTACAAACTTTTCTCAAGAATTGTGATCACCAGACTTGAAAATAAATTAGAACACTACCAGCCACCCGAACAGGCGGGCTTTTGTATCGGATTTGGAACCAACGATCAACTTCAGGTTTTCCGAGTGTTGATCGTGATAGGACTGAACATATCCCAATTGGTAGAGGAGTAAAGCAGAGTAACACGATGTCTCCTTAGCTATTTATCACAGTCCTGGAATATGCATTTAAGAAGCTGGACTGGGAGAATAAAGGCATAAACATTGATGATCGAAGGCTCGTCGTGTTTATCTCTAAATCAAAATTTATGATCAATCTGGTTCCCAGCGAAAACCTTGTATTGGAAGGAAACGGAATTGAACTAGTGGATAAGTACACTTATCTTGGTCATGAATTTAAAATCATAAGAGACAACCAAACCTGCGAACTAAGGAGGAGAATAATCATCTCATGATCAGCATATGGTAAACTCAGAGATGTGTTTAAGATCAGGCTACCAATATGTCTAAAAAGAAAAGTGTTCCATCAGTGCGCGCTACCGGTCATGGCCTATGGGGCAGAAACACTGACTTTGACCATAACATCTGTTAACAGACTTAGAACAACACAGCTAACAGATCCCGTTAGAAATGAGGACTTGCGCCGAAGAACCGGCGTTACAGACCTCATTTTTCACATCGCCAGACTCAAATGGAACTGGGCTAAACACATAGCCCGAAGGACAGATGAAAGATGGACGAAAAAGCTGTTGGAATAAAGACCTCGAGCTGACAAATGGAGTAGAGGAAAGCCACCAACTCGACGGATGGATGACATCAAGAGATTAGCTAATAACTGGATGCAGGCAGCACAGGACAGGAAGAAATAGGCGACTCAGAGGGATGAGTGATGATGAAATATAGTCTCAATCCGATTTCCTAAGAAGTGACAGTGCCATTAAAAAATAAACCATGTATCAATGAATACACCAAACACCAGCTCTATAATGTTATCCATCATGCTTGGCTCTACACCTCCTTGTGAGTACGACAGGACCAGAACTGTATGAACTTTAATTTAAACTACAAAAAAAGTCCCACAAGATCCCAGGTTGAAATTTGTTTTTTTATGTAGTTTCAAGCCTATACTTTCCGTTCCTAAACAAATAAATTGCGCATATTTGCGCATTTTCAATAAAATGGCGAATATACAGGGTGGTGTCTATGGATATTCGACAATGAATACTGAACGTTAGTTTTGAAACTATCAATCGTTTACAATTTTTCAGAATAACTATCTTTTATGAATTAATATTAGTACTAATTCTATTATTAGATCTAGAACTAGAAGCTTTCGGGCTTAACCGTGCGTCTTTAAAAAAGAGTCAGGATTCTGATATCATGTTGTAACCTTCTTTCCAAAAAAGTGCGAAGTATTTTTTAGTTAAAAAATACACCTATCCAACACACAGTAATAAAAAACTTTTAATAATTCTTGAGCCTGTTTCACAAAAATTATTATCAAGAAATGAACACTGCTGCATTTAAAAATTTTACAAACGACACAATTCTATTATACAATCAATAATTGGTATTATATGCCTGTAGCAGTGCATAAAATTCTTGTGCATGGCCACTTAGTAATAAAATCATTAAGTATCCAGATTGGCATGCTTTCAGAAGATGCACAAGAAACTCGGAATAAAGACCTTAGAAGGTATAGAGAGAACCTTTCCAAAAAAATGTCAAGAATACACAATAATAGAGACATTTTAAACAGATTATTAATATCTTCAGACCCAATTATAACATCATTTCATAGCCGGAAATCAAGGTATAATACAGATTTTTCTGAAGAACTTATAAGTCTTCTCTGCTTTGAAAATGATGAAGTAAGAAATAATTTTTTATCGTCAATTGCAACTAATATTGAAATTGTATAAAAAATTTTTAAAACAGTATGTTAAAATACTAAATTTGCTTATGGGGAAAACATTATTTATAGTTATCATAACATTATTAAACATTTGTCACAAATTAATACAGAAACAGAGCATAGCGTAGTTTACTCTATTATTGCAAATAAAATAGTAACAGTATTTTTTAAGTGCTATTTTTTCGCAGACAGCTACATGAAAAATACTCAGAAGTTACTTAGAATCCATAAATGCAACAAAAAAAATAGGGGTTCCTATTTTAAAATGTCAACATAATATGGTATCTCAATTTTGGGACACCTGTACAGGGTGGTTCAAATTCGATGTCCGAATCTCGGAAACTACAATAGTTAGAGAAAAAGTAGCTTACATGTCATGATCTCGTTTTTCGAGAAACTGCTAATGCAAAAAACCTCAAAGTGCTATCGTCTTTTGTTTTTACCCTAGAGGCCAAAATTTAAAATATCGTAAAACCAGCAAGTGCAATTATTTTGGTTATTATTATAGGTGGAGTATTATAACTAAGACATTATATGGACACTTTTTTACATAGAATTTGATGACGTAGTCAAGAAAAATTGTTTGGTTTTAGATTTTGAAATATTGTAACAATTTTCGTTTTCTTAAATGGAAACAACCACTGATTATTCGCTTATTATTATTATTTTTTCTGATTACAAAAAAAAAATATGGGGTTAGATAGATCTATTTCTTATTGTTTTAGAATAAAGCTAAAATAAACTTTTTTTAGTGTCGGCAAAAAAATTAAATTTACAGTTTCCTAAATAAATTCCTAAAAATTATTCTACTAAAAATTTAATCCAAATTTACTTTATTTTCTAATATGTAACATTCTAACATGTCAAACTTTTCGTAATTTTCGTAATCTATTGTAATCTATCCAAATCTATCTTAAAAAACAGGATTTTTAATTTGACACTTCAGAAAATTTTTGAATACAAACAAATGTTGCTATGTTTATTTGAATTAAAAAAATATATATGATCGCCATCTATCAATAATTTAATAAGTCATTTAATAATAATATTAAATTTAATATTAATAAAAAATGTGAAATAATGCAATCTATTCCAACTTTTGTGTAAAACAAATATAAATTAAATAGTTCAACAAATGTATTTGTTTCAAATATCAGAAATATGTTTTTTTAATTTTTAGTTATTATAATTTACAGGAAACTGTAAATTTAATTTCTTTGACGACCCAAAAAAAAAGTTTATTTTTAGCTTTATTCTAAAACAATAAGAAATAGACCTGTCGAACCCTATATTTTTGTAATCAGAAAAAAAATACCGAATTTAATAAGCGAATAATCAGTGGTTGTTTCCATTTAAAAAAATGAAAATTGTCATGATATCTCAAAATCTAAAACAGAAAAAATTCTTTTGACTACATCATCAAATTCTCTGTAAAAAAGTGTCCATATAATGTCTAAGTTATAATACTCCACCTAGAATAATAACGAAGATAATTGCACTTGCTGGTTTTACGATATTTTCAATTTTGGCCTCTAAGGGAAAAATAAAAGACGATAGCGCTATGAGGTTTTCGGCATTAGCAGTTTCTCGAAAAACGAGATCATGACATGTAAGCTACTTTTTTTCTAACTCTTATAGTTTCCGAGTTAGCCTATTCGGACATCGAATTTGAACCAACCTGTACACTATAACAAATTTTTTTGATATTTTTCAAAGAAATAGGTTAGCCTTAGATTCGAACGAATATGATACTATTTATTTTGTGGTCATGCACAAGTCGAGATATAACAACTGCCCTGTTGTCTTGCCTTGATAACTCCCTTTATAAGTGCAGTAAAAAAGAACATGCTAATAACAACGTAACTTTTACCACCACCCCATATACTGCATTATAGTTATGTCCTTAGGATCTCTACTTCAAAAACAGCAATAAAACAATATTCAAGGTAGGTATAGTGCGTTTCCACAAATAATAGGCATGGTTGCGTTTACCTTAATAAATTACGTTTTTCTGAATTGTGTTAATTTCTTTGTAATTCTAAAAATAAAAATATGTAGGAAAGTAAATTAATTCATAAGTTAATCATTATAACTTTAGATAATACTTAGGCGCAAAAAGACTTTCAAGTTTTAATTTAAAAATTGTCACGATTTTCCACCTGTAAATTTGAGAAGAGATATAAAACAAATTAATTAAAATACATATCAAAACATAAATTTAAGGTGAAGATCCTCAAAAACAAAAATGCTTAAAATTCTTGTATTATATAATCCATTTCTCATAACTCTTCCAAATAATTTATAGGGCAGGGTATTTTAGTCAATTAGTCCAAATAAACATTTTCTCATCAGTGTCTTGAAAATTTAAACAATCTGTAGTATTTAATATAAAGCAGTCTCAAGAATTATTTCTATAAAATTGAATTCATAACAGGTTAAGCATTAAATAAAACAAAAAAAACTAAATATTAACTGTACCTTACAATCTTTATTTACCATAAAAATCAGTAAACATACAGCTTGCACATTAAATTACAAAAACAATAATCTATTTCTTGTAACCGCACGAACGCCTGCGACCACGTGCCCTCTCGAATTTGCGTCCCTTGGATCGTACAAATGGTTTGCTGTGCGAGTGTGGAACACCAGGAGCTGGACCAAAATGTTTCACAGCTTCACGAGCGTTTCTCCTTCCTTGCATTAAGACAGTTTTGGCACCAGTAGGGGCTCGTAATGCCAATTGGTCAAATGTTAAAATTTCTCCACCTAAAATAATTATTACAATTAATATCTAACATCAATAAACTACTAATAAATAGTGATTTTGCAAAAAGCTGGATACTGGATATCCAGCATATTTATCTGGCCATAATTTTTCATGCATTTTTAAAGTGATACCCTACATTGCTACATTATTGTGATATTTGAACAATTATGTCACTTATTTGAATCCAAGATACAAAATGAACTTTTTTTGATGCAGATTTAACAAACAAAGCTTGAAGATGGCTTTTATATATGCTATTGCTTTTATATGCTTTATTGGAAAGACTTGCATCACAAATTGAAAGTGATGATGAATTATAAGTGAAGAGAAAAAAACTACAAGGAACTGCAACAAGAGATTTAATCCATATCTTTTGAGATTGTTACCATGAGGTTGCTAATGAAAAATCTGTAATTAAATGAAAAAAGTGCTATTGGGATTGAACTTGATTATTATCTGCAATGTCTAACAACTAAAAAAGATACTAATCCCTATGAATGATGGAGTACTAATAGGTTTTTATTGGTAACTATCTAGAATCTGGCCAGATTTTAAAGAAGTTGCCAGATATCCTTTCCACCACTATTAATAATAAAAAATATGTATGTGTAAACTGTTTTTGGATATAAATACCTGCTTTTAAAATTCTAGCACGTGCTTTTTCCGTTACACGAAGAGCACACACTGTCAAATTAGGTACATCCCAAATTCTGGCATCATCGGTTACTGTGCCTACAACAACTGCAGTCATACCTTCTCGGCCTGGTTTTTTCATAAAACGTACAATTCTAGCTAAGGAAATTGGTGGTTTGTTGATTTTACTCATAAACAAACGCTTCAAAATGATCCTGTTAAACTTTGAGTTTGTACGACGAGCCAAATATCTATACAGCTAAAAACAATATAGTTTAAATTTACTTAAATAAAGTTTAGTTTGATTTAAATGTTATAACATATAAAAATAAAATTGTACATACCTTCACTAAAAGGCGCAAATAAACATCTTGGCTTTTAGGTTCTGTGCGCCTAACCTTGCGGTCATGTTTATGGTTAATGTCGATACCCTGAAAACAAAAATATGTATTAGTTGATTACAAATACGTAGCGGTAAAGATGATATGTAAATAATTTAATTGAATAATACCATTTTTAAGTACGGATGAGTGATATATCGTGAAATTAAATAAGATATTTTTGATACTTACCATGTTTGATGACGGGAAACGAAAAGGAAGAGCGACAGATGCGCGCTCTAACAGATGGATTCGAAACTAACTTGAACTCGACCAATCAGGACATTTTATTAAAACGCGGGAATTTTAAAATATCACAC